GTGTGTGTGTGTGTGTGTGTGTGTGTGTGTGTGTGTGTGTGTGTGTACATTAATTACAAGCTAATTACAAGATATTGATCTTGTAAATACAAGAGAAGATGATTGTTGTGTGTTTGAATGAAATGCTCTTTCGTAAAAACTATTTATATCGCAATAAAAACTATTTTAAAAACTTTAATCTCAGAAACATAGGACAATTTTTAAAGATAAATATAAAAAATATTTGCAGGATGATGAACGTCAAATCATTTAGACACACTAGATTATTAGAGAAACAATTGTTTCTAAAATGATGCTGATATCTTCCTGTCTTGTTAATCCAGCAAACTGCCAACTCATGTTTTCGGATATTCTAATAGACATGCATATGAATTAGGGCGAGGATATCTATCAGCAATTACTATGAGAACAGGCCTGTTTTTGTTAGCTATTGTATATGATTAGTAGCACCTGGCTGCCAAATTCTCCATTAGTTCATAACAATAGTAGTAAACTATAACTAGTTTCCTACACTTATGTGTGCTGTTCATGGTGGGAAAGCGTTGCTTTTCCCCCATCTTTTTCTTCTTTTCTTTGTTTTATAATCATGATATTCTGACACGCAAACCCGTAGAACTAAAATGTACCCTGACTTTATAAAAACTAAAATTTCACAGCTAGGTAAACTAACTATGTTAAACGAGTCGTTTGTAAACAAAGACGTGATAAGAAACGTGAGGCAAAGCGCGTTGAACACCTAAAGAAAATCACCACGGTTTTTGTTTTATCTTACCGGTAGCGACGCTAAATTACTTTGGCAGCAATTTTCTGTAGAAAGTCGTTTTCTTCTTTTTCTTTTAATCACAACAACACACACAGCTGTGCGTGTGACAGCGCTTCACCGGTCGCAATAAATATTACGTCATCAAACAAGCGACGACACTCAAGTGGCTTTTTTTTTTTTTACTTTTTTCTGATTTTAGTTAAGTTAATATGGAAGCCCATTTCCGCCACCCTGATAAAAAAAAAATAAAACTTGTATCTCATAATTCTGACTTAGCTATCTCATAATTATGAGATAGTATCTCATTATTATGAGATAGTATCTCATAATTATGATATACTATCTCACAATTATGAGATAGCTATCTCATTATTCTGAGATAGTATCTCATAATTATGATATACTATCTCATAATTATGACTTAGCTATCTCATAATTATGACTTAGCTATCTCATAATTATGAGATACTATCTCATAATTATGACTTAGCTATCTCATTATTATGAGATAGTATCTCATAATTATGATATACTATCTCATAATTATGACTTAGCTATCTCATAATTATGAGATACTATTTCATAATTATGAGATAGCTATCTCATGATTATGAGATAGTATCTCATAATAATGAGATAGCTATCTCATAATAATGAGATAGCTAAGTCATAATTATGAGATAGTATATCATAATTATGAGATACTATCTCAGAATAATGAGATAGCTAAGTCATAATTATGAGATAGCTAAGTCATAATTATGAGATACAAGGTTTATTTTTTTATCAGGGTGGCAGAAATGGGCTTCCATAAGTTAACATAGCCTATTTGAAACTTTACAATTTAGCTACAGTCTTACTCTAACTAAATGTGTTTTCTTGTACTTTTTTCTTTGGTATTGTCTAAAAAATGCAAACTTAATATTACACAAGAAATATGACATATGTTTTGAGATCCACATGCATTAATATCAAAACGTTTACAAACATAATGCAATATGAATCATGATACACTGTGTAGAAATAGCTGCTGTATCATTTCAAAGACGTTATAAACTAATAGTCTTATAATTTAACAGTATTTTTTTACTTGTTACAATTCCTATTTAAAAACATGCTTGTTTTTTTTACTAGTATTGGCAGACTGGACCCTAATGGCAATAGGGATTTCAGTTTACTAAAATTATGATTATTTTTTCTTTTTTTTTAGGGCAAAAAAATAACATTTAGTTCCAAGCCAACGATGCTTGACTTTAACCGCATCTTAGGGACAAAGAGCTTCAGAAACAATCTGAAATCAAGCCAAATTAAAACTCTCCTCAACTTCACTGAAACAAAACTTGGACCAGAAAAAACATCAACTATTCACTGAACTAATAAAAACCACTGCAGTAATCAGTATTTACACAGACATCTGGAAAATGTCTCAGCTAACTGATTGAGGCTAGATTATGAATGCCAAAGGGCAGTATGAGGGGGATTGTGCTCAAAACTGACTGTATCAGCAACTCTAACAAAATGCAGAATAAACAGACCTCTGAAATGATTGAATACACTGAGACAGAGAAGCAATACAATAAAACTCAAAAAGTCAAGAATCAGCTTTAGTTTTAATTTTCTTTTTTTTTTACAATCCATTAGTTCTTAATCCAGCTACGCTATTTAAAATATGCCATAATTGGATACACTATCAGTAAATAGATGAGTAAACATTGATAAACATCCAGGAATATGTTTCATTCCCATCAAACTTTCACAGGCCCCTACAGCTGTAAAAGGCCATATGGGAAATCAATTCCACTAAAAGTGATTTTCAAATCATTCATACAGTATTAATTCAGCAAAAGCATGTAAAATCATGCTCATGCATCTATGTTTAAAACGTAAAATTAAGAAAATGTAGATAAATAAATAGAAATGACCAGCTTCTAATAGCAATTTACTTTGGATTGAGCCTCTAACTCAGGGCTGTCAAAATCATTTTCACCGAGGGCCACATGAGCGTTATGGTGGCCCTCGAAGGGCCACTTGTAATGAACTTTGATGTTTTATGTTTAACTTTGACTAAACAGAGTTTTAACATGTCCTCTTTTAAACACTGATAAGAACTAAGTGTATGACTGACTAAATC